GTTTTCTTTTATAAAACTAGAGATCAAAAGTTTTGTTTTGGATGATATCTAACCCCATCCTTAAGCAATAAGGCATTATCACCCTCATTTTCCCAGCAAGTAACTATGTTCCCAAAAGACTCAGAGACTTACTGAAGACACAGCTTTCATGGGACCATAAAATTTGAACCCAAGTTTTCTGCTAGTCTATAAATGGCCCTATAGGGCAATCTTCATCCTTCAACATCTCTGTGCTTCAGGTATTGCCAAAAGCAAACTTAAGGTTGATATCCCATCAGTGAGATAGGACTAGGCTCTGCATAGTGTCCAAAGTGTCAATTATGACATAGGAAACTGTTGCCTGCTCTGTTAATTTGGAGTCTACTAGCCACAGCTAAAATTCATTAAATTAAAATTTACCCTCTTAGGTACACTATCCATACCTCAAGTTCTCAGTGTATATGTAAAGTGGATATGAACCATATTGGACAGCAAGGATAGAGAACACTTGTTATTACTGAGATTTCTGTTCCAAAGTGTTGCACTCTAGCTATACAGATTAGAGTAATCTAGACTATGATGAAATTGGACTCTCATCTGGAAGAGCATGGTCTAAGAAGAAATTTAGGGGAAAAAATGCTTTGAACTTGGCACATTTCATAAACTGACTCTCGATTAAGTATTAATGAGCACCATTCCCCACCTCACACCCTTGAATGTTTTCCTATCTTTTATCTAGTAAGCTTAGAATCATGTCTGAGGATAGGAACTGGGTTAGTTTCACCTTTTCATTTCCTTCACTAAAAATACATAGATACATAATGCCCGTGTTTACCTGTGTTCCACCCACTTCAGTGTACAGGGCTCTACAAAGAAAAGGCATAGTATTTACTTGTTAAACAATTCAGCATATTGCATTGTACCTCTGTGAATAGTTGGAAGAAGAACCAATCGTAAAAAGCAAACATGGCACTGAGATGTTTCTAGCTAAAACCAGCTCTACAGCATAGCCTTTCTCATCCCTCCTCTCCTGGCAAAAGGGACATTGAGACTCTAATATTAAAAACCGAGGCTGCTGACCCCTGTAAGAATCAGGAGTTGAGACCCTAGCAGGAGTCAGTTGGATCAGGCTCACCTATCCATCACTTAGCAAATCAGAAAATCCCACCCCCCAAGAAGACAGTGACATCTAGAAAGGCCACTTTCACATACACAAGCACATGGGCAAACTGCTCCTGAAGGCTCCTATTACAAATAAACAAGATATTAAATCAGCAGGTCATTTCTTTTTTATTTCTTTTTATTTGAGTTAGAAACAAGATTGTTTTACATGTCAATCCCACTTCCTACTGCCTCCCCTCCTCTACTACCATCCCCCCAACTAATACCCTACCTATCACATATCCTTTCTGC